TGTACCTGCTTTCATACTCTGCTTCAATTTACGAAGCCCAAGATCTCGTACATCGTTTATGCACTTTCTCCATCTGCCCTTCCCCTTCAGCTTCATTCCCATGTTCCAATATGCCCTTCTTTTTCATGGACTTTAGCTTTCTAGCAAGTCTGATACATGGCACTTCAACAAATGTCTTCATGAAGTTCATATATACATTAACCCTATTATCTCATCAAAAACCAAGTTAGTTAAACTCAACTGGTTTGTCTTTGCAAATTTGTGTTGTTTTTCCTTCGTTAATCCATAGTTGATCCACAAGGAATTGTGCATTTTGTTATCATTTTCAAGTTTTGTTACCATTGAGGTTAATCTGACTGGTCTATAGTTGCTGGGTTTCTCCTTTCACCATTTTCTCAATGAAGGTGTAGCCGTTGGCTAATCTCCCAGCCCTCAGTTCCATTGCTGTTTTCAAGAAGGATCAGAATAATACAGATACTGCCTTCTTAATTTCCATCCTCACTTCCCTCTGTATCCTCAGATGTATATGATCAAGGTACAATTACTTATCAACTTTGTATCCTGCCTTCCTTTCAAATACTGACTCGACCAATGTTTAGCCCACAAACTATCTCCTCCTTTACTATGACTTTGGCAGTATCTTCTGCCTTGATAAAGTACTCATCTTGCCCTCATCCATTTGTAGATTGATCTTTTGATCCCTAATCAGCTGCACCCCTCCTCTTAAAATCTTTTACTCTTCAATTGCCTAAAGACGACTTCTGGATTTTTTTATATATAAAGTTTGCTCATGGGTCGTGGCTGTCACTGGCAAGGCAAGCACTTATTGCCGATCTCTCCTTGTACAGTTAGAAGTCAACCACATTAGGATCATATGTTGTTCAGACTCCAAATATGACAGATTTCCTTCTCCAAACGGACATTAGTGAATCTGATGGATTTGTACAGCTGTCAAGCAGTTAGACAGTCACCATTAAGCTAGCTTTAATTCCAGACTTTTATTCACATTTCACTATCTTCCATGGTGGAATTCCAACTCCTATACCTCGAACACTAGCCTAGAGTTCTAGATTATTAGTCCAGTAACATGACCACTACACCATTACCTTGCCTGAAATCAATATCAGCTCCTTCTCATTTTCCTGCTGCCACTCTTACTTCCTTCCTCATTTTTTCCTTGAAGTATCAATATGTAACCTGGTTCTCAGTTGCATTATCAACCAGTCACCTGCAACAAGTGCCCTTTTTCAATACCCGACTCTCTATTTCTTTCATCCACATGGAGGCTTTCAGGCAAATGTAAAAGCAAAGTTTATAAAACATTACAGACCTATTTAAGAATTGAAGTGGTGCTTTTCTTTAAAGCATACATAACTTCAGTGGTTTAAATTATAACAGATTTCATAAGAACATCGTAACAAGAAAATATTATAATGAAGTAGTACAATAATAATATTCAATGAATACAATGGATCTGGTAGTTAAGCTGTATTTCAAATGATTTGCTTAGATTAACACAGTAAGATGACAGAATGAAAGATCTGTTCAGTATTCCCAATATGGTGGGAGAAATACATTCAAAATATCCACAAGTACTTTTTAAAAAGGTATATATCATCAGAAAAACTAGACTTAAAGCATAATAGAGCACAACTCACCTCTGAGGTATTTCACTTTGAGAAACTCCGGACTCGCTTTCTGACCTGGAAGTGGGTCATTTAACATCACTTTAGTCTGAGCTTTAATTCCTTCATAAAACTGGCCCATAGCAACGTGGCCCAGGCCTCTCATGTACTGGCAAACCTCATTGTATGGTTCCAACTGCAGGCACCCCTACGTTTTTTTTTGAAAAAGGAACCAAGCACATTTACTGAGTTAATTTCTCAAACTTCATAAATTATGTGGTAGTATTTATAGAAATTGATACTTAAACAATGTTAAACTGATCCCTAGCTCCTTCACCATACTTACCCAAATAATGGCCAGTAGCAGCATTGAGAATGTTGAAAAGTTGGTAAATATGCAAAGGCGACATTAAAACCAAAGTCTGTTACTAATAAGTTTGGAAAACATGGCAAATTCAAGGCATGAACTAACATTCATCCCCATAACGTAGCTTTTCAGTTAACATAAGGTGGCTTCTAGAAGACTACAAAGACTAAGGTTGTGCTGCAATTAGTCCAAACCAATGAGTGGGCACCTAAACATGCAGGCTGATCGAGTTCCAATATACATCAGAAAAGAAGCAAAAAAAGTATAGTTGAAAAGGTCAATGGATGCAGAAGGTTGAACTGTAAGAAAGAAAAAATTAACTACTTTAGAAAACAAAATTCTTACAAGCACAAGAAAGCACTTGAAAGAGGGAGGACTATTTATAGACAATATGCTGTAATATGCAGAAGACAAGAGGTAGGCATGAATTGTTTCTATGGCTTTAAGAGGTGCATTTTGTCCTGGTTTTTGTCTAATGAAGAAAGATAGAGACAGAGGTGCTGAGGAGTCTGTTAAAAGCCAATAAAGTAAACAGCTTCTGAGGTAACAAGGTGCAGGGCTGGATGAACACAGCAGGCCAAGGTCTTGGCTTTTTTTTTAAAAAACTGTTGGAACAATAAAAGCAGTCTGAATGGGTGAGGTCAAGCTTCCATAGAACCAGGAATTTTTTTTTTTAGTTTTAGCCTTCAGCAGCAGTAGTTGGGATCATAGATCATAGAATCACAGAATCCCTACAGTGTGAAAACAGGCCCTTCGGCCCAACGAGTCCACACTGACCCACAGAGCATCCCACCTAGACCCATCCCCCTGTAGCCCACCTAATCTACACATCTCTGAACACTACGGGCAATTTAGCATGGCCAATCCACCTAGCCTGCACATCTTTGGACTGTGGGAGGAAACCAGAGCACCCAGAGGAAACCCACGCAGACACAGGGAGAATGTGCAAACTCCACACAGACAGTTGCCTGAGGGAGGAATTGAACCCAGGACCCTGGCGCTGTGCTAACCACCGAGCCACCGTGCCGCCCCGGACTTGAAGCTGGATGTGGAATCTCTTGTTCCTCTTTCTGTTACAGCTAAAAGCTGGGGCTCTCTTTCTGCTGCTAGAATTACAAATGAAACAATCTATTTTACTGAATTTGTCTTTGCGAAGGGTGTGTTTATGGGACGTTACTATATTGGAACAGTTAAATGAGTAATTTATTATTTTGTTAAGCATTTTGATAGTTACAGTCGAGTCATAATTAAGCCAATTCCTTTATTTTATTTTTATTTTGTCTGTATTTTAACTTTATTTTTACATTAGAGTTGAGTAGTTCAACTGATCAAATTACATCTGGAAGGCCACACCTTACATTTATGTTTAAAATAAAGAAAAGTTGAAGTCTAGACTATCTTCTTAACATATTTTGAGGGCATTTGGTCTGGTCCATAACAATAGCTAACAGTGAACTAAATCAATTTAAAATAGTACAAATAGATAAAATACCTGAAGATAAATTAGGATCTTAACAACAGAAATCAACAAACTGAAGAGAGAAAATCTGGAGAAGCGAGCAGGATTATGTGGATTAGCAGATGATGGAACTAGCTTTGTGTAGGGTATGTATGCATGTGTGCATCCCCAATTGCCTGAGAACTTGGTGCTGCGCCACATTCTTGAATTGCTGTGGCTTAAGTGGTGCAGGTGTACCCTGGTATTGCTAGGAAGGGAATTTTATAATTTTGACTTGGGGAGTATAAAGGAATGACAAAGACGGGAAACTTGCTGTGGGGGTGTTCACATGTATCTGCTGCCCTCGTTCATCCTGGTAATAAAGGTCGTGAATGTAGGCAGTATTATCATAGGACCCTTGGTGAGTTGCCAAATTGCATCTTGTACTGTGTATTAGGAGTAAAAAATGTTAAGATTATGGATGCGATGCCATCAAACAGACTGCTTTGCCCTGGATGGTGTCAAACTTTTTCTTTTGGCTGTTGTTGGAGATGCACTCACCCAGGCAATGGGATAGCATTCCATCACACGCATGCCTTGTAGATGATGGACAGACTTTAGGGAGTCAAGAGCCTAGTTATTTGCTCAGAATTCCCATCATCCGATGTGTTTTTACAGCTAGAATAATTATATGGCTGCTCTGATTCCGTTTCTAGTCATTGGTAGCCCCCATCATGCTGAAAGCAGGCGATTCAGAAATAGTAATGCTATTCAATGTTATGAAGACATTATTAGGGCCTTTCTTGATGCAAGATCTGTCTGGCACTTGTGCAGCCACTTTAGAGCACAACATATTACAATCATCAGGTGTTGGAGTGGTATGAAATCAACAAACAATATTGATTATGAAGATGATTAGGAGTGCTTGGAAGAACAGTAGATAGACCTTCACAAACATTCAATATAAACAGCAATTCTGAGAAAAGAAGACACTTCTCCCGCGCTTCAAACTTAAACCGGATATGGTGTTGCAGTCAGAGAGGATGAAACAGCATTCATGGTTCAAGAGATTTGAAGGAAGCTGAAATATGCAGAGTAAGCAGCTGGATTAGACACATGAAATACCTGCAGTGGAATGAGAGGCTCCAGATTTGAAGAAGCATGGTTTTGGAGCATCTTACCGAGATGGTAGTTGAGGAACACAAAAACTGATACAACAATTAACGGAGTTGAGACTGCAACACTGGAAGCAGCAGGGCGCACTGCTAAGCTTCACACCAACAATCCAGCGGTCAAGCTATTTTCAGTGGTTTGTCATGGGATTTGCATCGACAACTCCACTAGCTGGACTAGTGAATAGTATAGTTATAGTTATAACATGTGTTTAATGCCCGGATTAATGCAATGTCAGTCGCAATTTCAGACAAACTGGAAAACAAACATTCAAAGACATGGATATTTAAGCATATTTAATATGCATCAAGAAATCCAAACTCTCAAAGTATCACGCTTTAAGTCTCATTAAAAGACTTTTGTTTAAATCAATCCACAATAAATATCATGGACCAAGGCAACAGAATTCCCTACTGGCACAGACCACTGAAATAAAATGAAATACTTTGATTCCCAAAAATAGACTGGTCGAAAAAAACACCACACACCCAAAAAAGCAGTCAATTCTGTGCTGGCATTATCTGAGTCCCAAGATGAGAGATATGTAACAAGGAAGCATAATTTCTTCTCTTTCTGCTAATTTCAATGCTCCCATATTTTGCTGTCACATTGGACATAGTAAAGAAAACCAGATGCCAACTACAACATCACATTTTTCATATCAATGTCATTCAGAAAAAGCATTTTGGTCAAATGGCTACAGCAGTTCTCTTAAGTATGATAAAATATGTTGAAGTTTATGCTAGCACTCAATCTTAGGCTTGTTTGGACTAGCTGGCTCTTCATTGTGGATTAGAAAAAAAAATTAGATACATGCCAGCATATAGAAAGTAATTTTTTTTTGTTTACAAGGCAGTTGTGGTTTTGACTGCTCTGTTGTCAAATGCCAATGTAAGCTCCCACTCATATGAAGGAAAGGAAAAGAAAAACAAACAAATCGGAGAATTCTGAGATGGACTCTTCCCTCCCACCTCTCTAACCAATTCCCACCACTCCCTACCTGTACTCACCTATCACCATCCCACCTACATTCCCCGGTCCCAGCCCCACCCCTCCTCCCTCTATTTTTCAGCCTCCTTCCCCCTCCCAGTTTCTGAAGAAGGGTCCCGACCTGAAACATCAACTTTCCTGCTCCTCTGATGCTGCCCGGCCTGCTGTGCTCCTCCAGCTCCACACTGTGTTGTCTCTGACTCCAGCATCTGCAGTTCTTGCTATCTCTCAATCAGAGAATTCTGGTCAGTTCATAAATATTAGCAGCAGCATTGACACAGATCAGAGAGAGAGTCAAATACCTTCTGATTTCTACAACCCAGAGTAAACGTCAAAATTGTTGGGAGGTTAGCACTGCCGGCTCATGGCACCAGGGACCCAGATTCTTGGGCAAGTGTGTGTGTGTGTGTGTGTGTGTGTGTGTGTGTGTGTGTGTAGTTTGTATGTTCTCCCCTTGTGGGTCTTCTCCATGTGCTCTGGTTTCCTCCCACAGTCAGAAAGATGTGCAGATTCAGTGGGTTGGCCATGTTAAAAATTGCCTCTTAGTGTCCAGGGATGTGCAGGTTAGGGGAGTTAGCCACGGTACAGGAATGGGATGTGGGTTGGGTGGGATGCTGTTCTGAGGATCAGTGTGGACTCAGTGGGCTGATTGGACTTTTTCTGCACTGTGTGGATTCTATGACTGAGTGAGAGGAGAAATGAATCTGAAAAAATCTTTTAATATCACTTGAAAAATATCTGTAAATGTATCATACCTTAAAGTCTTTCAAGGCATCCTGGAGACTGCCGTGATGATAAAGCATCATTCCTCTCAGTTGAAGGGATTGAATGTGGTTCTGATTCAATATTAAGGCCTTTTGGAAACTTTCCATAGCTGCTTCAAAGTCACCCAACTCTCTAAAGGAAAATGCAGTTTCACAATAGAAAGCATCAGCCTCATATGCCAATTTTTCTCCACAAGTAACACAAGTAAAGTTGCCCATCATGAATAAATAAATAATGGGAATTATGATTGTTATTCAGATATATTAAGCAGCCTTTATTAACACAAATTAGCCCCTAGTTTGGAGAAAAACAAAACACTGAAGGTTTACACAGCTGGCTGCCACAGATGTTGATGCCAACATCAAAGACCCATCGTACCCCAGTAATGATTTCCTACAACCTCTTCTGTCAGGCAAAAGATACAGAAGTCTGAAATCACACATAAACAAGTTCAGTAACAGCTTCTTCCCGGCCATTATTAGGCTGATGAATAGACTCTCTAGCCTCAAGTAACGCGGATCTTGCTAATGTTGATCTCGCCTAGAACACATCCTGTGCAATGTAACCTGTATGCCTCTATCTAAGTCTTTTTGATCTGTGCATCCTTGCTCACTATGATCTACCTGTACTTCTCGTAAACAAAGCTTTTCACTGTACTTTGGTACACGTGACAATAAATCAATCAAATCAGGTATCATGTTATCTGATTAACGCAGAGAGGTGAAGTTTACCACCTTCATGCTGGCTTCTGTTGAATTCCAACTGGTACTGAATTTTAAAATGATCCCTTCTCAAATTCATTCTGAACTCTTAGTAGTAAATCAACTATTAGATATAAGCACAGGCTGCTGGCTAGCAAGCAACAAGGAGCCAGTAATATAACTCTTAATTTATCATGCCTGTGCCACTCTGTGGATTGCATATATACCACATCATGACATTCTAATAATCCTTCAGAGTGTACTTGGGCTAAAAAAAAAAGTCCCATTCATACCCGGCTTGGAAAATTGTCAAGTTCACTAGTATGTTCAATATCAATCGATTTATAAGCCGTTTACTTATCTTCCTTCAGTTTTAATGGTATATGCTAATTCCACATTCATCAGTCTCTCCCAAGATTGCAGAACAAACTTTCAAGTCCAATCTGCCAGGGGAACACTGAGAAAATAGTTGAACGAACAAAGCAGCTATATGCTCAAGTTGAACTGTGGTCTCAGCTTGTACCCAAACATTCCATACAAGTGGATACATTTCTTGTTCACCACTTACAAAGGGAGCAGAAAATAATGCAAGCAGTCCACGAGAAAACTACAAACTTTACTAATTACCAATTTAGTTAAAATTGAATGAAGTGTTCTTTCATCCAGAACACAAAAGTATTCCATAATCTAGGCCAGACATGCTTGAAAGAAAAGCATTAAAATCTGAAACACTGTAACCAAAAAATGAATGTGAAGGATGTCATGTTTGGAATTTAGATGTTCACTTTGAATATTTGCTTGGACCAGTTGTTTTTATGTATATCACTAAAATAATAATGTGAAGGCTGAAATATTTCAGTTTGGTAAGGCAGCTGCAGGTACAGCTAGAAATGTTCCCTGTGGAGCAGAGAGTCAAAAGCTACAAGACATGGGAACAGTGGTTATGTTGCTGCAGTACAATCCAGAGGGCCAGATTAATGATCCTGTGACACGTGTTCAAATCTCAGCAGACAATTCAGTTAATGAATGAAAATCAATCCAGAAGAAAGTGGTGTCCATGTGATGACCAGATTGTCACAGCATCCAGCTACTTCACTAACTAGCGTCTCTTGGGAGTGAAATCTGCTGTCCTTACCCAATCTAGCCAACTTGACTTCTGACACACAGCCATGTGGTTGATTTGTAACTGCCGTCTAAATGGGCTACCAAATTACTCCATTGTCAAAAAGTCTCATCACCGCTTGTAAGAGGGCTGTTAAGGAAGGGCAATAAATGCCCACCTTTGACAGTAAAAGCCACCGCTTGAACATATGAAATAATACACTAACTGGGCAGAGATGAGTAAATAGGCTGATTGATGCAGACTCATTTTTTAAGAGAATTGTTGAAGACGTTAGACTTTAGAATCCCTACAGTGTGGAAACAGGCCAGTCGGCCCAACAAGTCCACACAGCCCCTCTGAAGAGCATCCCACTCAGACCCATTCCCCTACATTTCCTATGTCTAACCCACCTAACCTAAACACCCCTGGGCACTATGGGCAATTTAGCATAGCTAATCCACCCACCCTGCACATCTTTGGACTGTGGGAGGAAACCGGAGCACCCGGAGGAAACCCACGCAGACACGGGGAGAATGTGCAAACTCCACACAGACAGTCACCCAAGGCTGGAATCAAACCCAGGTCCCTGGTGCTGACAGGCAGCAGTGCTAACCAATGAGCCACCATGCTGCACAACAACATGCTTGAAAAATTCTCAAAAACGCTGAAGGGCCTGCTCCAGCTAAAGTGATTTTCTGTACTAGAACTCTTGGTTTTGTTTATAAAGGATTAATAAAAATAAATAGATATCATGGAAGAGTCAGTGGAGGAGTAAGCTAGTCTAACAATCCAAGTAGAAGGTCAAATTACAGAAGTCTACTATTGCTGGTCTGTACCTTCATTTTTGTTCCAATTTAGTGAATAAAAATCAACTAAAAACTAAATTAAAATCAATTTATTACTTCCCTTCCCACCAAAATTAAAACTAAACCAACCTGTATGCTTGGCCTAGACTTCTATAAGCATCTGTAAAATCTGTTTTGAGTTTAATGGCATCTTTAAATGTATCAATTGCCTCCTACAAGAGCAAAGGACAAAAACAAGATTTAGTTTACTACCTAATCACATGAAACAAATACAAATTGCCTAGTTTGCAGCAGAATTCTTCTCTAAATCATTATTTAGATCATTAACTGAATAGCTCATCACAAACCACAAGTAATTAACACTATTCACTGCAAGAACAGGATATATTTTAATATACCAAAGACAACATTGTGGCCCAAAATACTGAGCCTCAATACACTGTAGCATAGATTAGTAAAATGCCAATCCTAACTGTGAACTCCCCATCTCAATCACAGGGATTGCATGGAGCTGAAGGAGGCTACTGTAGAAATGCTCTAAGAATTGCCTTAAATGTGGCCCTCAGATGGACTGCAGTGGTCTGATTGAATTCTCGGAAAGAAAGGAGTTAATGCTAATTAAACCAGAAAGGGTCAATAAAACAAAATATGCTGCACCAGGTACTGAGCCTCCATCTTAAGTTTACCTACAAGCAATCTTTCTGAGAAAAGACCTGTGAGCTATGGACTAAACAAGGAACTTTGCATCCCCAGGTACCAACATTTCAATATTCAAGGGCTATTTATTTATAATTCTTCTGGTAATTTTTCTAGCGATCTTTATAGAATCTGTGGAAGTATTGAATCAAAAATACATAAAATGACATTTCTGCAACATCAGTAAACATATATTTGACTGGGATAATGGCTTTAGAAGATAAAAGTATATAGCTATAACTTCCAGATATGGTCACATTACTTAGATATACAAGTTCCTTCAAAATCCTTCAAGGGAGATGAGACTTAAACCAGCTTGAGGGAAAAAAAAAAGCAATGAAAGACAACAAATTGATCCAGGAGTTGATACTCTGGAAAAACAGACAACACCTTTTATAGATGGAAGTTTATAACTCTTGCATCTCAGTAGGTCAATTCCGTTCACCAGAGATAAATCCACCCAGCTCACAAGTTGTGGAAATATTGCTACCAAATAATTTAAATGATTTGTCAGTTATCTAAAGGGTATAATTATAAATGAATATCTTAGCATCATACGTAATTCTGGTTTTCTCAAATAATCTGAAGCTGATGGATTTGGTTCGATATCCTTATTCTTTACACAATACACTCACCTTCAGCATACCTCTGTGATAGAAGGTTAAACCTTTGTACAGCATTGCTATTGGTTGATATTTCTTCATTTCCAAGGATAACTGAAAGTCTTCGTGTGCTGCTGCATAATCCTAGATGATATAATTACACAAAAGCTAGAAACTTATTTGAAACTTTGAAATAAAACTAGTCAAAGTTTTTTAAAAATGTGGTAACATAACCATTCTTCCAATTTGATTACCCAAACATATCAAATACTATTTTCCTTATAACCGTGTTTGGTGAGATGGAGCGCACATTGTAAATCAGTCACGCCTCAATGAGGACAACTGCCCACATGGAAAGGGGAAATGGAAAAGTATCAAGTTGCCCTGGGATCTATTTATGCCAATAAAACGCCAATTCTTTCATTACATTCTTTTTGATAAGTTCATAAAGATGCAAAACAGGGGGAGAATAGACCATTTGGCCCCTTAAGACTGCTCTATCATTCCACAAGATCATGACTGATCTGTTTGTGTTCTGAATTCCACATTCCCATGTACGCCCTTCTTAAGAAGTGATGATCCACCTTAGGAAGGGATGATCTATCTCTGCTCTAAAAATAATCAGGGACCCTTGCTTCAACTGCTTTCTAAGGCAGAGAGTTCATAATTCTCAGGAAAAAAAATTCTTCCAAAATTCTCCGTCATAAAACAGTGACTGCTAATTTTAAAGCAGTATCCTTTGGTTCTGAACTCACGGACAAAAGGAAACATCCTTTCCATGTTCACTTTGTCAGAACCATTCAGGATCCTCAACGTCAGTCAAGTCATCCTTCACCCTTGTAAACTCCCGTGGAAACAAACCCAGCCTATCCAACCTGTCCTCATGAGACAACCTGCTCATTCCAGGAATCAATTTAGTAAAGCTCCTCTAAGGACCTGATGGGATGCATCCTAGGACATTAAAAGAAGGAGCTATAGAGATAATGGATGCACTGGAATCCTCACCTTCTGGAAAAATTGCAGATTGGAAAACTACCAATATAACACCTTGATGTTAAAAAAGGGAAGGAGACAACAGATAGGTGTTCTCTAATCAACCTTTTTAAGAGATGTTATTACACACCTTTAGAGCAGGTGGGATTGAAATTGGGCTGCCAGTTAGCTCAAAGCCTGTTATAGGGAAAATGTTAAAGCATATTATAAAGGATATAAAGCAAAGCATTTAGAAGTGCATAATACAATCAAGCAGAGTTAACCTGACTTCACAAGAGGGAATTCATGTCTGACAAATATATTAGAATTCTTTGAGGAAGTGACAAACAGGGCAGCTGTGGATGTAAAATATTTACGTTTTCAGAAGGCATTTGAGAAGGTATCATACATTAGGTTACTTAATAGGATAAGAGCCCATGGTGTTGAAGTAGTATATTAGCATGAATAGAGAATTGGCTAATAATCAGAAGACAGTTGAGATAAGGGGTCATGTTCAGGAATGACACCTGTAATGAATGAAGTGTTACAGGGATCAGTGCTGGGTCACAATTACAATATATATTAGTGACCCGGATGACAAAAGTGAATGTACAATATTCATGCGTGTGGACGACACAAAAATAGTTGGGAAGGCAAGTAATCGAGAGTCAATAAAGAGATATAAACAAGTTAAGCAAGTTGGTCAAAAATACACGGCAGATAGAATATAATGTGGGGAAGTGAGAGATTATGCACTTTGGCAGAAAGAACAGAGGAGCTGACTATTATTTAAGTGGAGAAAGACTTCAGAAAGCAACAGAAGGGATTTGGGAGTCCTCATGCATAAGTCACAAAAGGCTAGCATACAAGTTCAGAGGGTCATCAGGAAGAGAAATGGAACGTTGTCTTTTATTTCCAAGGAAACGGAGTATAAAAATTGGGAGGTCTTTCTCAAACTATGAGATTCAGCTGGAATACTGTGAACAGTTTTGGGCTCCTTTTCGAAGGAAAAATACATGCTGGTATTGAAGGCAGTCCAGAAAAGGTTCACTTGGTTGAAACAGTATGGAGGGAAAGTCTTACAAGAGGAAATTGAGGAGGTTGGACCTATTATACTCAGTGGCGTTCAGAAAAAGGAGAGGTGACCTAATGAAGCACAAAAGCTGCCTAGAGAACTTGACGGAATTGATGCAGAAAGGTTGTTTCCCCTTCTGGGGCAGTCTAGGGTCAAAGGACATAATCTCAAAATAAGAAGCCACCCATTTAAAACAGAGATGAGGAGGAATATCTTGGAGAGTAGTGAATTTGTGGAATTTTTTACACAGGGCTGTAGAAGCTGAATCGCCAAGTATATTCAAGGCTGAGAGAGACAGATTTCTAATCAGTAAGGGGATCAAGGATTAAGGAGATAAATCAGAAAAGTGGATCTGCGGGTGATCAGATCAGCCATGATTTCATCAAATCAATGGAGCAGAATCAATGGGCTAAATGGCTTGCTCCTGCTTCTATGGCTTATGGTCTTGTAAGATAGTTACATCGTCCAGTAACGAAGCGTACTCACTCACACAGAAATCCCTCTCTTCACTGCCTTTCACAAAAATGTTAATTCATTTTTGATTTATGGTTACACTTTTACTGGTTGTGCGTTCAGTATTTCATCAACATCAAAGTTGAGAGTGTGTTTTTCTGGTATTTCTTTACAGGAAGCCTGACCTATACCAATGTACTTGTAGTCAAGACAGCCGGATAGTGAAGACAAGTGCATACCTGGCCAATTTTCCATTCACCAAAGGCACTGTACCAACCTGTAACATGCCCATTTGCGTTTTCAGTTAAGAGCAGTTAATTTAGCATAGACCCACGACCAGATTTGGGGACACCAGCAGTCTGTGGTTTACTTATTCACTGCTTAAATCAGCTGATTTATCAAATTGGCTTGTCCACAGATCTGCTAAACGTTTCAGCAAGCATATAAAAAAAATTGTCTGCCTCAAGAATTTGGCTTTCATGTGTCTTGTCAACTGTCATTTATGCTCTGCACTTTGCAGACTCAAACGGTAATGCGGTTTTATCTATTCTATATGCTCCAACATTTTGTTTTAATTTTGATGAGCTCCCCCTTTGCTTGATTCATGTTTAAACACTAGTTTTAGCTACAATTGTTGAAATATAACTTTGTGTCATAACAAGCACTACTTACAAAATGCAATTTTTATGGCTGGGTTCTTAGATCATTATTGTAGTACAAAAATTATGGCTAAGTACAGCATGCATCATTATTAATGCACACACCTCGGATATGAAGTACAGGGTGCCTCTATGTCTGTACAGACGTGCTGATGGGCGCAGCTGAATGGCTCTGCTGAGATCATTCAAAGCTTCACTAATTCGACCCAGGGGAGACAGAATCTGCCGAAAACAGGGACATCAATATCATAATGTGCACACAAACCATCCTAATTGCTTTCCATGACAACAAACATGTCATCAGAAATATAAATGAAGTCAATGAACCAAAATAAATCTTACCTCTGCTCTCTGCTCAAATACCTCAGGTGCATTCGGTTCTAAGGTTATAACTCTGTTCAGCTCAAAGAGTGCAAGCTCAGCATTTTTGATATCCTGAAATATAAATTTGACTTTGAATACCAGTGAGTTAACACTGATAAATATAATGTAAGTCATTTAGTTACAAAGAACAAGCAGGTCACTTACTGCTTGAAAGGCACAAGTCTTGTTGCTGAAGGAAACAAAACGGACCAGAGTACAAATATAACAATCAAAGTCATGCCACAAGGTAGTAAGGCCGTAAGTGTTAGATTTCATTTTTAGAGGGATAATAAAGTAACGAAGGTCTGCTAAGCATGTATCGAACATTGGTTCAACCCCATTTAAAGAGTTCTATAGAGTGACAAAATAGAGGTCATTAAAATTCTACAAGGTTCTAACAGAGTTGGTGCAGACAGAATCTCTCCTCCAGTGGGGAAGCGCACAATTTGATGTCATTGATGTGAGATAGTCACCAAGAAATCCAATAGGGAAACCATTAGAAACTTCTTTCTTCCAAGAGTGATGACAACTTAGAACTCACTACCATCGGCCGTGATTGAAGCGAATAATATAAAAGCATTTAAAGAAGAAATGCCAGCATGAATAAACACCAGCATGAATGGGTTGGGTCATATATCTTAAATACTAGTCACTTTATTTCGGTCTGTAATCTCCCCACCTACACACTTACTCTAACTTTTCTAAGACCACCTTGGGAAATGGTGATCAATCATTAAGAAACAATGAGTGGTATTAATAGCTTTGTTTATAACTATGTTTGCCAGCAAATTTACTGCGCTCGCATAAAACTCATTCATAAATTGTAAATAAAAATTAAAGATCGTAATAAATTCATAGAAATATCACAGACTCTCACAAATCACACCTCAGACTTTAATTTGAACTGAATAAATACTGACCTGTAGACCCTTCTTTCCATATGCTATTCCCCTTCCATAGATAGCACCTACTAGTTCCGGGTTTCCCTATTCTCAGGCATCAAAATAAAGGAAAGATAAGTAATATCAATGTAGTTATGTCAGACACATGTGCATCTGTACGGTGCTACACCTGTTATACCATTATGGCTCACTACATTTAACACTGTATTATACCACAAATGATATATTTAAAGTGAATCTACATATTCACTTGTCCTCTCAGAGGTATACATTCAATGCCTATGCCCTAATTTTCCAGCTAATCAGGTTTAGAAAAAGAAATGGAATATATACGAAATGTATTTTACATTCAATACTGGTTCAGCAATAAAAATTCTATTACTCAGTCTCCATGTGTTCAGAATCTAATTCACAAGTGACAGAGCAAGCATCTGTTATGGAGAAAAAATGGCACATAAACAAATACGCATGCAGGGCTAAAGCTAGGTTTTACAGTTTTGCTGTAACTTTGATAAAATGTACATACCTGTAGCAGCACTGAAAAGTGTTTAATTGCTTCATCATATAAGTTGTTTCCAATTAAGGCATAGCCAAATGCTGAGAAGAAATAAATACGGATTAACTTAAAAATGAATCAAAACCTGAGGGATGTTGCAGTTCATTTCCAAAGAAATTAAGATGAAGCAGTGTATGTAACATATTTGGATTTCCAAGAAGTTCTCGACAAGGTGTCATACATTAAGATAAGGGCCCAGATGATGGAGATAGTACATCAGCATTGATAGAGGATCAGCTAACTAATAGAAGACAGACAGGTGAGATAAGGGTGTATTTTCAAGGCAGCAATCTATAACTAATGGAGGAATCAGTGCTGGGCCACAATTACTTATGATACATATTGGTGAGTTGGATGACAGAAGTGAATGTACTATAGCCAGGTTTGCAGATGACATAAAACTAGATGGGAAGGTAAGTGCTGATGATGACAGAGAGTCTGCAGACAGGTTAAGTGAATGGGCAAAATCTTGACAGATGGAACATAGTGTTGTAAAATGTGAGGTTATGCACTACGGCGGGAAGAATAGAGGAATCAATATTATTTACATCAGGAAAGACTATAGAAAGCTACAGCAGAGGGGGATATGGGAAACCTTTTGCATAAATCACAAGAAGCTATTATCTGACTTCAGCAGGTAATAGGGAAGGCAAATGGAATGTTGGCCTTTATTTCAAAGGGAATGGAATATGAAAACACGGTGGTCTTTCTCAAACTATTCAAGCACTAGTTAGACCACACTGGAATACTGTAAACAGTTTTGGTCCTCTTATCTAAGGAAAGGTACACTGGCATTGGAGGCAATCCAGAGAAGGTTCACTAGATTAATCTTAATTAGGGAAGGACTCTTATGATGAAGAGCTGAATAGGTTGGGGCATACTCACTGGAGTTCAGAAGAACATGAGGCAACCTTATTGAGACATACAAATTGCTCAGGGAACTTGACAGAATAAATGCAGAAAGTGATTTCCCCTTGTGGGAGAGTAGAGGACCAGAGGATATAATATCAGAATAAGGGGTCGCCTATTTAAAACAGAGATTGGGAGGAACTTTTTGTTTCAGGAGGGTAAGAAATCTCTGGAATGCTTTACTGCAGAATGCTTTGAGAGGCTGGTTCGTTAAAAGTATTTAAGGCTGAGATAGACAGATTTCTAATCAGTGAGGGAATCAAGGGTTGTAGGAATAAGGCACTATCCCACTAAATTGTGGAACACACTCGATGGGCTAAATGGCCTATTTCCACTCCAATGTATTATGTTTCAAAGATAAATACTATTTTATTTTATTTAATCTTTATCATTTTTAAGAAATTAAATACTGATATTGCCAGCTTACTGAATGCAATGCTGTAAGGGAGGAGCATTTAACACACCTTGCTTAATAACTAAAAGTAAGTATTATCAACTGTCACAGTCACCAATTTAAAAATTCAGCAATTGAGCAATTTCTGAAGACACAAGGCTTAACACAGGTATACAACATCCCATTAAGGTCATTAATATTCACATATTGAAAACAACTAAAATACTGAACTCCTTTTGTGTTTGTCAGACCTGAAAAGCCATTAGTGGCAACATTCATTAGTTGAATGCAATATACAAAAGTCCAAGATTTACTTCCTTTCCCATGCAGAGGGCTGATCTACAGAAACAATCTTGACTCTGGTTGCCAAGTTAAGGCAGGAACAATGCTTCTTAGGTAATAATTACATTTCGTGCTCCAAATAGCTCAACTAGATAGGCTCACTATTGAGGGTTCAAACATTAGCGATAGCCATTTGAGAAAAATATAAAAAAGTGAAACATTTATGGAGCTATCCTTCAAGACATTACAGGTAGAAGTGAGCAAAGAAAGATGTTATATTGCAAAACTACATTTTCTTTCTAATAGTGTCATGGGTTTCTGCAACTTTATACCATCAATGTACAAATGCATCACAGATAATCAACATCGAACAACTGTAGCACAGCTGAACCCACGTGGGGCCACTGTTCTTGTGGCATAGTAGTAGTGTCTCCATCTCTGAACTAGGAGGCCTGTGTTCAAGTCCTATCTGCTCCAAAGGTGTGTCTGAACAAACTGATTAAAAAATATTTATAAATAAATTTTCCCTCTAGGGCCTATTTAACAGGATCAACTTATTTTTTAAAAAGTAATGCAGCATCCAAAGAGGGTTTTTGTGGCACAGTGGTAGTGTCCCCATCTCTGAGGTAGGTGGCCTGGGTTCAAGTTGCACTTGTTCCAGAAGTGTGTAATAAAGCACTGAACAAGTTGATTAGAAAGTATCTAACGCAACATCCAAGAACTGTTTCGACAAAATAAATTAGGGGATCTTGCGGTGCAGTAGCATTGTCCCTACCTTGAGTCCAGAGGTTCAGGTTCAAGTCCTACCTGCCTCAAAGTGTATCATAACATGCTCAAACAAGTTGATTTGATGAAAATTAGAACAGATTAGGTTAGCGAGACTTTCTTGGTACTTCTCACAGGTGGCAGGAGCCAATGGAAGATCGTGTCTGCTCTTGCCTCTTTTAACAGTCAGCTCTGGAGCAGGTCCTACAATTGTTACTACAGTAGGAAACATGACATGCTTAAATGATACAATTCTTGTTTTGAAAAAATGATGTCGTTTCCTTGACTTGATCCAAATTAAAAGGCATTGACACAGCCAACAAACTAACACGTACCCAATTCCTCATTTGTATTCTCATCAATACTCGAAAAAGGGAATCTCTTCTGTTCAGTTAATACTTTAGCTTGACTCTAAAATTGAGAAACATAACGCAATGATGCAAAGGCAGTAAACCAACAATCTGTAACATATGTTTTAATTGTAAATCATTTCCATAAATTAAGGAACAATTTCTGCCCAACACTATCAATTATCTTCAAAGAATGTAGTGCAGATGCCTTGCTTACATGGTGGAATCTTATATTTGGTTGCTGTGATAAAAATTCAATGTAGTCTGACTGACACCATTTTTGATGAAATCCTGTTGAACACTCCTTCCCTCTTGTATAAATCAACCTCTGTTTACAATGTAATGGGTTTGATTATTTTTCCCCCAATTTCTGTTGATAATTCTAGATAAGCTATTGGAATTTTTTAAAAGTTCTGGTGCTCCTTGCAAAACACAACCTATAAAATGAATGAAAGAATTGAATGTCTTCTCTCACAATGGCTTCCCATTCTTCCCAGCCAGTGGTAAAGCTAAGGAGAGCGAGTGAGCAAACTCTCTTCAACTGAACTGTAGAGGCCAGAAGGAGCTCCTCACTGGTCTGCATTGTCAGTCGAACATAGGTGGTTTAGAGGTGGGTTTCTAATTTCTTCCTTTGCAACCCAATTAACCAAAAGGATCTTCTTTAGCAAAGAAGTTTTAACCATTTGTTAAAACGTGCCTGTTTATGTTCAATTGGAAACTATTACAATTCTGGAAGATTTTCTGTACTGAAATATTTGGGTATCACACAATGAACTGCACTACTCTTGAATACTTCCACTTCAACCTCAAAAAACTCTAGCAACTTTGTGACCTCATGATGTAAAAAGGACAGCAGCAAAATGTACATAAAATTAGTTAAATGATAGGTAACAGCAGGAATCAATGGCTACTACTTGGACTGGAAAAAGACTTAAACTGAAATTCCTTGCCTCTCTTGATGTACAGGGTACAATTTCAAAATTTACTGATGACAAAACTTGGAAGTATTGTGTACTGTGAGGAAGGTAGTGTAGAACTTCAAAAGGACTTAGGCAAGTTGCGGCAATGGACAGACAATTGTCCAGTGATCCACTTTAGAAAGAAAAACAGGGAAAGACAATACACAAAAACATATAATTTTCAAATGGATGCCAGGGCGGAGGGACCTAGTGATGTATATGCAAAAGGTGGCAACACAGGTTGAACAAGCAGTTGAAAAAGCTTACAGAATCTCAGAGTTTAGATATGGGAGTACAGAGTACAAATGGATGTTAAGATAAACCTGCGTAAAACACTGGTTCAGCTTCAACTGAAACATTACATCTAATTCTGGACACCATACTTTTGAAAGGATGTGAAGCTATTAGTGAGGGTGCAGAACAGATGAGATGAGGATTTTTATTTACACAATAGATTACAGAAGCTGGGTAGTTTTCTTTGGAGAAGGCTGAAAAGAGACTTGATATATAGACAAAATCGTAAGGACTCTGGACAGACCAGATATGTAAATTGTTCCCACTGGTGGAAATATTGAGAGGACATTTACTTAAGATGTTTGATAAAAGAAGCAATTGCCACATGAGGAAAAACATTGTTTTTAATGCAGGGAAAGCTCTCATCTCGAAAGCACTGCCTGAGAATGTTGTGGAAATAGGTTCAAACATGGTTTTCAAACAGAATTGGATAAAATCTAAAAAGGACAAATTGCAGGACTGTAGAAGACAGGCAAGGAAAGCAACTGGTTGAATTAGTCTTATAGAGAGCTGGTCAAGGCAGAATGTGCCCAATGGTGTCCTTCCACATTGCAACCACCCCATGATATTTACTGTGAAAATACTTAACTCCTTAAAATATAACCCAGAATTAATTATACTTGGTCCCTGAAATATCCAATTTTTAGGATTTAAAAAAAAACCTACAAGTAAAAAAGTCTGAATAATTCTGACACTTGCTGTACTCAACACCACACATAGTTAGAAAAAAAACTATTTCCTCATAATTTGAATTTAGAAAACTGCAACCAAATATAGTTAGTCATAAAACGAACAGATTTTCAGACTGAAACTGGTCCAGTTGACTCAATTCTTTTCAGTGGGTGCTTCATAACTCAAACTATTGTAAATTGCAGGTTTAAAACACTAGGTACAAAATAATTAATAATATGCTTCACAAATTTGGCTGGTATTTAATCTAGCACTGCACTGAAGTGATATTTATGTCAAAATAATAAAATGAAAGTGCATTCATAATAAATATATTTACTGTACCCATGTACTTTATTAAGAAGAACAGGATAATGTACCAGAATTTTCTCTGTATCGAGGGCCAGCACTGGCTCACATGGTGGAGACCCACTAGGGATACAGTCTGTATCTTCAGGATTCAAAAATGAAGACTCTAAAACATTAAGCAAAGCAAACCTTTTAGTAAGTCACTCAGTACATTAAACCTTTTTTGCTTTATTTTCACAATTTTAATCTCAGCCTTCAGCCCAAACAAAGGCACACAATTGAAAAACCATTGTCTTAATTTTGCAAGTATTGGCTTAATCTTTCATAATTCCAATTAGCTCTTCCATTTTCTTTTTATTTCAAAGTTTTTTTTTTAAAGTGTCCTAATATATTTTAAATATTTACTCACAAACAATAACAGAAATTGCTGGAAAAGCTCAGCAGGTTTGGCTGCATCTGTGGAGAGAGATCAGAATTAACATTTCAGGTCCAGTGACTTTTCCTCAGAACCCAGTTCAGCTTTTCCAGCAATTTCTGTTTTTGTTTCTGATTCCTAACATCTGCAATTGTTTTGGTTTTTAAGTATTTGGTCCATGGGTTACTTCAATTCACAAAAGACCACAAGGATGGGGTGGCATGGTGGCTCAGTGGTTAGCACTGCTACCTCACAGCCCCAGGCACCCAGGTTCGATTCCACCCTTGGGCGGCTTCTGTGTGGAGTTTGCACATTCTCCCTGTGTCTGCGTACGTTTCCTCTGGGTGCTTCGGTTTCCTCCTGCAGTCCAAAGATGTGCAGGCTAGGTGGATCAGCCATGCTAAATTGCCCGTAGTGTTCAGGGATGTGTAGATTAGAGGGGGATGAGTCTGGGTGGGATGTCTGACGGTCGATGTGGACTTGTTGGGCTGAAGGGCCTGTTTCCACACTGTAGGGATACTATGTGTTCTGTGTGTGTGATGATAAAATGCATCCCAAAAACACCGAGTTAATGTGGATCTGAAAAACCTGTTTGATAAAGTTTTCATAGAGATACGAAGTAGAACGAAAGTCAAATCTGTTCATTACCAAAATTACAGATGTAATAGTCTTCATTGGTCAGGGCACTGAGTGCAGGAATTAGGATGTCATGTTATAGTGATACAAGAATTGGTAAGGCCACATTTGGAGCACTGCATACAATTCTGGTCGCCCTGCTATAGGAAGGATGTTATTAAGCTGGAAAGGGTGACAAAAAGATTTACAAGAGTGTTACCAAAACTGGAAGGTTTGAGTTATAAGAGCAGGCTGGATAGGCTGGGACTTTTTCGCCGAAGAGTAAAAATCTGAGGGGGAGACCTTATAGAGGTTTATAAAATCATGAGAAGCACAGATAACGTGAACAGCCAAGGTCTTTTCCACAGGATAGGGAAACGCAAAAGACGGCATATATTTAGGGTGAGAGGGGAAAGACTCGAAAAGGACCTGAGGGGCAACTTTTTCTCACAGACAGTGGTGCGTATATGGAACGTGCTGCCAGAAGAAGTGGTAGAGGCAGATACAATTACAATATTTAAAAGACTTTTGGACAGACGTATGCATAGGAAGAGCTGAGGGATATGGGCCAAACACAGGCAAATGGGACTAGTTCAGTTGAGGAAACCTGGTCGGCATGGATGAGTTGGGCTGAAGGGCCTGTTTCCGTGCCTTATGACTCCAACTTCATAGATGAGGACAGCATTGCTATACAGTACTGCGTGCTGATTTCACTATCAAGCATTAAACAGAGATACGGGACTCTGCCTTGATTGTGCATTTGAACACTAAAGATCCATGTTACAAACTCAAGAGATCAAATTTCCCTCTTCAAACAATATCACATTGCTATTTGCTGGGTGCTGTTGGTACATAATGCCATGTTATTCAGTATCAAATCTGCCACTGCAAAGTAAGTCATTGTGCAAAGCAATTCAGTCTAGATTAGCATGAGAAAATGGTAGTAATGTAGGGACACAGTTTAAAAAATTGCTATTTTACAGATTCATATGATTACACACTAAAACATTTCCACAAAATAGGCCAAAACATTTAAATATGTTCAGTTTTATTTCAAGAACTTGCATTTATATATTGTCTCATTACATTTTCATATCAAAAGCATGAAAAGACTTAACAGCAAATGAACTGTGTAGCAAAAAGTGAAAATGCTAGAAAAACTTTGCAGGTCTGACAGCATCTGCAGATACTGAAAGAGTTAATGTTGAGACCAGTATGATCTTTTTCAGAGCCCAGTTCGCTCTCCCTATAGATGCTACCACCATTGTGCAGTTTTTACAGCACCTTGAATCTTTATTTCAGATTTCCACAGTATTTTTCATCTTAACAAACAGCAGTCATTGTTTCATACAATCATAGAATGGCAACAGCACAGAAGCAGGCCATTCCACCTGCTCTGCCAGTGCTGACTCTCTACAAGAACTGTCCAGCTAGCTCCACTCCTGTCTGTTTACTGTAGTCTGCATATTTTCCCTTTAGATAATTAAGTAATTCCTTTTGAAAGCCACGATTCGAGAGCATAACTGCAGGTTGTGTAAGAAGTGTCACTTTGGTTCTTTTGCTAACCGCTTTGAATTGGAGTCAACTAGTTTTTGACCAATAGGAAGAGATTCTATCTGTATTCATAATTTTGAACACTCCCATGAAATCTTCTCCTGTCCTTCTACTTTTAAGGAGAACAAAACGGCTTTTCCAATCAATCCACGTAACTTGTCTCTCATCCCCAGAACCATCCTCCCAAATACCTTTGCATCCTTCCTACTGTCCAGTGCCCAGAATTGGACACAACTCTCCAATGTGAGGATGAATGAATAGTACGTGAAGAAAGGTTCACCACAATTTCCTTGTTTTCATGCCTCTATTTATACTGTCCTTGATTCCATGTGCCTCAACTATTTAAAACTGGGATCAGTTGAACAATTAAGGAGAGAACTATTAACACAAGTGAAACCCCACTAAAAGATTGAACATTTCAAGAGGCTAATCTATAAAATGTCCTTCACTGAGTGTCAATGTGAAGTAGATTTAAAAGAATAAACTGTATGCTCTATTGTAAATTAAAGTGGAGAGAAAATGAAACTTTTAGTACCATCGATTGCCCTCTGGTGCTGCTTAGGTTCACATGCTAAACGGAGGCTAAGAAAAATGACATTTTGTTCGTGGGAGTTGGGCATCACCTGCAAGCTCTGCATTCATCGGCCAGTCCCTAATTGTCCTGGAGAAGGTGGTGGCAGACTGCCTTCTTAATGTTGCACTCCTTGGCATGTAGGAACATCTACAAGGCTTTTATAATCAGACACCACCAAAGCACTTAAAAACCAATTAATTATTTTTTAAAATTTGAGATTTTTTATTCAACTTGTTCAAATGTATTATGACACACCTCTCTAGAGCATGTCAGACTCAAACCCATGCCCAGTAGCCTCAAGCTAGGGTGACTACCAAGACTCCACGAAAGACCTCACTATTTAAGTTTAATCATCGTAGTAATGCAAGAAATGTGACAGACAATTTGCTCACTGCACAATGTCACAATCAGCACAGTGTATAATGCTGGATAACTCGTTTGTTGGGGGAACAATAACTGGTTGTTTTTCTATGTAGTGTTATCCACATGTCTACATCCACCTGAAAGGGCAGAGGGAATCTTTGGCTGAACACCATCCCTGAAAGTACAGCAATTCCCCACTAATTATCATGTAGAGTGTCAGTCTACTCTTTGAGCTCAATTCCTACTGTAAGACTTGAAGAATGCAGAGTGACAGGTTTGAAGATAGTATGTGTTGAAAAAAAGATTGAAAAGCACTGTTCATTTTCAGGCAGCTGACTTTAATAAAACACAAGCATATTATTATTGAAGAATTTCCAAACTATCAAGAAATCCATGCAGGTGGCTTCAGTACACCTGATTTCTCTCTGTCAGTAGGTGCTGTGATGGAATCTTTAGTTGAGATTTGTGTCTATTTTTTGAAACTGACCCTAAGTGAAATGAGGAACCAAAAGGGTAGCCATGATGTGGATGTGCCAGTGTTGGACTGGGTTAGACAAAGTCAGAAGTCACACGACACCAGGTTATAATCCAACAGGTTTATTTGAAATCACAATTAGGTAAAGAACTATTAATACAAGTGAAACCCCACTAAAAGACTGAACATTTCAAGAGGACTGCTCCTTCATCAGGTGACTTCACCTGATGAAGGAGCAGTGCTCCAAAAGCTTGTGATTTCAAATTAAACCTGTTGGACTACAACCTGGTATCGTGTGACTTCTGACTTTGAAGCGAAAGGGGACAGATGAGGAAACAGACACTTGCAATTTCAAAGGAAGTTAAAACTTCTCAGGAGACTGAATCTGGCACTAAGCAGAAAATAGGACACAGATTAATTCAAGCTCAGTTGAAACTAATGTGTCCAGTAGTGCAGTACAATCTCCAGCAGGTAAACCCAAAAGCAGAGAATAAAGAAATATAGTTGCGACAACACTTTCTGTTACAAGAAATTAACATTGCTGGATCCATGTCATGCAGAAATAGTTAAGCAAATTCTGCAGACCTGTGCCATTTTTGGTGATGAATTGTATGCATGAAATTCAGGTTGGTTGTGCACTGCTTGTAACCTGGAGTCAGGCTTGATCCTAACAGAGAGCAGCTGAAATTCTGTGTTCTTCTCTTTGAAAGAATTATGTGGCAGATATTGATAACCTACAGACTAAATGGACTGCAGAGCCAATTTATAATATGTCTTAGTTGTATCTGCCATTTAATAAGTAATTCATAGTTTATAACAGACAATTTGCTTACAGTCATGTTTAACTTGCATTGTTTCTGAGTATTAGAATATAGATGACTATCTAAAATAGTATTGAGCATTTGCTTCATTTAACCCTTGTTTCAACTGCAGAATCTTGGCCTCCATTTGTTTAGTGAATAATTGATTTCAGATTTTTTTAAAAACCCACAGAGTTCAAACCAGGACACACCTTTACCCAAATCCAGCAGGTTTGGGAACAGTCAACAAAAACTAGTTTTGTCCACCAAGATAGGATTAATTACTGACCTCAGGGAGACCACCCGAGTAGCAGCGACCATGAAATAACTGAATTTCACATGCAGTTTGACGGATAGAAGTGTGGGTCCG